GGGGGGGAATTAAATCTTTTTGCATTATTTCAAAGTAATATTTATATAGTACTTCACAGTTCTCAGAAGAAATAAAGCAATATTTAAGACAGAAATTCCTTTCCCTCATGTATGTACTCGTAAGCAGCTGGTGATGTGTCATGAAAGATAACCAAAACCGAACATCAGACTGGCTTTTCCTTTGTCACACACCAGGGAGTGTGACGTGAGGCCTCAAGAAATCTCATGCTATTTACTAACTCCCCAAAGCTCTCCTCCTTTCAAGAAAAAGATCTTTTGAGAAAATTACATTTTAACTAACACGTCTAATCTATCGGAATTCTTATGAGAAACCCATTTTTATCAGCGGGTTCAATAAAGGGGACTGAAATTTTCCACTTTACTCTTCTTCTCTTGTCTATTGCCTATAATACAAAATCTACTTTCCCCTGCCATCAATGTGAGACTTGTTCTGACTATTAAAATTCCTTTTACAATCCATTTTAGGCTGTTTTTCCCCCCAAGTATTGGATAGTAACACCTGTCCTTCATGACAAGAACTGCCAGGGACAGCTAACATCATCACTTCTGAGATGTAAGCTGAATCTCAGAAGTCATACTAAAGAAAGAAGGAGAACTGCTTGAAGCTGTGCATATAATTTTAACATGATTTATCTCCATGTCAGTCTGATTTGTTATGTAAAAAATAATGAGTTCAGTCCCCAAGAAGGTAAGTCTACTTTGAGTAAAGCTATGACGAACTCTATTAGGCCAGAGTCGAAATAACCTCTGTGAGACTGACACATGTCAAGGAGGACTCAGCATCTGGATATTTAAACTTTCTATACTTCAGAAATGCTTAAAATTCAAATTTGGCACCGTAGCAGTAGATTTCTGAGAGCTCCTATTTAATTTGATTCATCCAGGTCGGACCACTCTTGAGCAAATACCCAATCCTGAGACCACATTCTTCTGACAAGGAAGCCTACAGGGGCGTGTACGCGTGTAAATACCTAAATATATGCTGTAGTAGCAACATGCTCGTAGGCCTGGGTTTGGTTAGGATCTTAGAGTTGAATTTAAACCAGACTTACAAAAATTTTTCTAAGTGACATCACTGGTCACTGGGAACAGGGTGTATTTTACGCTGAACGGCCTCAGTTTAAACACCTAAGGTGTCTTTACTGACATAATTCGGAACTCACTGCCCCTCCTCACACCATCACGACCACCACACTTCCCTATTTAAATGATGAAACTCGCTGTGGCTTTATTGTGAAAATTCTATCCGTATTATGATATTCTAAAGGGATAAAAGGAAAAAGCGTTCCCACACCTCTTGGTGCCTTTCTCAAGCGAGAGGCAGTGAGCAGAAAAACAGGTTTGTTTTCACCAAGCACGATGAAGAGATCCCCCGTCCGTCGGGTGTGCCCAGCTACTCACTCTACTTCCTCCACATACACTTCTTTTTCTCTCCTGTAACAAGGAGCATTAGCAACAATTTTGGTAGGAAGAGTTCTTTTTGCCTAGGCAAAGGCATCATATCGTGCTCGTAATAAAATCTTAACACGTCCAATCTGTTCAGCCTACAACACAAGCTTCATTAGGAATGTCTGTTGTGTATTCAAGCGGCTTATGTGACATTGTTTATAAATAAGGGTCTGTGCACTGAGGGGTATTATTAAACAATTGCTAAAAATATATGTGACAATATGAGTTTTGTATTAACTACTGTATTTGTATTATAAATAAGTGTAGTAAAGCAGAGGGCATGAAGAAAAATAAAAAGTAAATTCTCCTACTGGCTTGCAGTGTGGAGATACATATTACACGTCTCTGAGTCCATCCTTTAGATGGCAAATGTTTAATGGGTAGTTAAAATGACTACGTGTTTCTTAATTAAGAATGACTCAACCCATTACGTCTCCAGTTATCGGTCGATGTGGCTTAAATAACATTATCACATATTCTACATAGGTAGGTACAAAATAAAACTCTGAAATAAAAATGCGTGGCACGGGAGACCAACGTCGTGTGCACTCAGGTAAAACCCAGATCATTCTCTCTACATATCACTATGTTCTCTAAATTATCATCACATCAAAACAGAAACTCGAGGCTGGCCCCGGGGAAAGCATATAGGCAGTTAGTTGCCTTAGGTGACTCTGTTGTGTCTTTCTTGTCCCTTTTCTACCCCTAATACCCAACATTTTCTATCTCCTTCATGTCACTATTTCATGGCAAAGTTGGGCTATCGTGATGCAAACCTTTCTTGTTCTCTTTCCTCCTTTACCTAGTAAAATTGACCCGTTCCACGGCCCGGACTCTCCAGGCCACCTGTCTGAAGCTGGCTAGATAATATCTCTGCTTCAAACGATCGATGGCCTGCACTGCCTCTGTTAATTCCAAGAACATTTATCACGTATCTACCAGGTGCTAAATATTATTTCAGGCGTTGAGGACAAAGCGATGGACAAAACAGTCAAAAATCCGTCCCTCGATCCAGTGATGGAAGAGGGAAATACTGGGCAAAAGGCTTACTATGACCAAGGGTGATAAAACAAATGAAATCCCACAGTTAAGCAACTCTAGAAAACTGTAGAGATACTTTCTTTTCTTAAGTGGCTTTCTGTCCATCAAAACAATGTAATAGGGGGTGGCTACAGACACTACTTGTTGAGTAGGAAGCATGAAACTTTTTAAGACTCTTTGTAGGGATAGGACAAATCCAAGTCATTACCGTAAGAACAAAAAAAGTTAAGCACAAAGCATGTGTACTCTGAGTTACCGAGAAAAGCAGAGTTGCTGGTAGTGTGAATGACAAGATTCCGTTCCAAAACCCAAACAGCTTCCCTTTTTATTAATGCTCAAGCGGTGAACTTTGAATGGCATTTAACAAGCAAAACACAAATGGAAACACTGAATCTGTAGGTATAGTATATGCAAACATACATATTATAGGGATTTAATAATCCTGGTTTAAACAGGAGAACAATGGATTCTCTGACCCCAAAATAAATTCAGTGTCGACGTTACTGTTTCTAACTTACAGTGTTTTATATTTAGCAGGAAGAATTATAGACACCCAAGTTCAGTATAGTCAGGGATTTCATGTTAAGGTATAAACAGAGTTTTTAAGAAATAAGTGTATAATAAAATAAGTTTACTTTTAAATCGCAGTACAGTCATTTTCTTCAATCAATAAAAATATTTCTTGGTTATAAAGCAGGCTTACTTTGCAAATGTATTTCAGGAAAATAGCTCTAGCAATATTGAAATACTAAATTTTTTTTTAAAAGGCAGCAAAGCAACAGAATTTAGATTTTAAATAGTATATTGCAAAATAGTTCAACATATTATTTCTAAGCACAAAGCTCCATTCTGAAGGATGCTTCTAATCTTATAAAGCAAACTGTTCTGATATTTATGTTGTACTTTAAAGTCTAAATATCTATAATTAGAGATAAATCTTTACATATAGGACCATAAACTTCAATATGCATCCATAACACAAATGTTTTGCATTATAACATCACTCTCTTATGAAGCTTAGCTTATTAACATATGCTCAACAAGGAAAATAAAAACATGATACAGTTCTGCAGCTTGATAACAGGCTGAACTTTGCAACAATTAAAAATATAAAAACAGCAATGACAGCAAACACACCAGCTTTAAGAAAGGTAAAACAGAAAAATTGAGAAATCATAAACATTTAAATAACTACTAAAGTCTTCCTAACATGTCTTAATTTGCACTCTTTTCTTTAAATATAATTTTTTAAATGTTTTCCATAACCCAGGAGGAAATGATGGCAAATTCTCTACAAAAATGAAAGTGCATCATGTTTAAAAGTGCTTCATGTATGTGTCTGTGTGTGTGTGTGTGTTTATACATATGCCCAATAAGGAAGTTAAATAAGTGTGTGCAAAAACTTCTAATTATGACTTGAATTCATAAAGCTAATCATGGTTTTTTGTGGTTCATCCAGATGAAGCAGAAGAGAAATCTGAGATTATACGCTTTGTATCGAGGAAAGAGCATGAGCCACAGGTCAGGAGACCACGTTCTGTTCTTAGCTCTGTTAACCACTGTCGGTGACCCTGGGTAAGAGAAGGGCTGCTTCAGACCTGCAGCTCTGTGTTAGGCAATGGGCAAGCATCTAAATTCAAGAGCCCCTAATGTCCCCTCCAACTCCAAAACCTTTACATGAGGCATTCTAGAAAGGGCAAATAATTCTGCCAAAAAAATATGGAAAATACACTAGTCATAGAGCTACTATCCTCTTATGGTACTTATTAGTACAGAAGGGGAAAAAAAAAAAACTCCAAAAATGTTTGACAGAAAAGGTTGTGTGAACATCATATGTTAACCAATGCTAGTGAAAACCTTTATAGCCACGGCATATAGAAAATCCAATATTATGTGCAAAAATGAAAAAGCGACATCAGTTGGTCGACTAACGGCACGTTTTTTCTGAAGTCTCAGAATTTTCGCGGCTCTAAAGCTTCGAAAGCTTTTTTGAATGCTTATTTTAAAATTATTTTACTGGAACCATGATTCTATTCTAACGGTTCATATTGCTAGTTTTTTAAAGGAGTCTCTGAATCGTTATAATGGTTTTTAAGAAGATGCCACATTTCCAAATTTTAAATATGGCTAAAAAGTTAACCATTTGCCACAGACTCTTTATTTTATGCCATATAGATCTATGTATACACACATGCGCGCACACACACACACACACACTCACACTCACGGAACACTTCGGAAGTTTAACTCAACAATTCTCATCCACAAGCTTTGACCCATTTATTCCCCGATAGGTTACTCTGCTTGGTCTAACTAAGACTCCATGGTTGGGCTTACAGGTGAAATAGCGTGTGTCACCCACTGCTCCGTCGTTTTTTCCCTTGGCGCTTCGAAGCTCAAGTCCAAGCCAGATCCCTGAGGCAAAGTCAGTGGGGCCCACGTACCTCACGGTGCCCATCTCATTCGAGCTCGTGAGGAGGACCTGGGCCCCCTCGTGCAGCCTCACGCTCCCCTCGGCGCTGCCTGTGCTGGGGGTGCTGCTCCAACTGCGACGCAAGGCCGTTTTTGATCTGTTCGGAGGGAAGAGTTAGAAAAAACTCTTCAGTGCAAAAGCCGCATAACGCAATTTCCCACACTCATGTCCACGGCCAGGTTCACAATTCAGTCACAAAAGAGAATACTTTATGGCCATAACTTGATGTTTTTAAAAATTCTAAACAGCAATATTAGAATACATTTTTGTTTAACATTTTTTAAGTTTTTCTCTTTGAACTATTTTAATACTATACTCATCTGGATTTCAGGTTTATATATATATAGTTGACCCTTGAACAGCATGGGGGTTATGGGTGCCAACCACCCACGCAGACAAACATTCACACATAACTTTTGACTCCCCAGAAATTTGTTGTCTCTCAATGTCCACAGGGATTGGTTCCAGGACCCCACCAGATACCAATTCTATGGATGATCGTGTCCCCTGTGTAAAATGGTGCACAGAGTCGGCCTTCCGTGTCCGTGGGCTGAAAATAGTTCAGGTATTTAATGAAAAAAATCCAGGTATAAGTGGACCCGTGCGACTCCATCCCATGTTGTTGATAGTCAACTGTGTGTGTGTTGAAATATATATAGAAATATATATATTTTTTTTTTCAGTAAAAGAGCAGTTAGAAAAAAATACACTTTTTTCAGTAAAATAGCAGTTAGAAAAAATACACTTATACCTATTTAACTGGTATCAACACTAATCAAATAAAGCAAAAAGTAAGAACCTACCATTTTGGCTGTGGTAAATTATAATTACCCTTTGTTCACTTTTTAAATATTTCTTTGCACAAAGATAATTTTTAAACACTGTTTACAACTTTGGAAAGTAAACTTATAGGTATCGTAAATGAATGAATGCTGGTTAACACTTAAGGGTTTACCGCCATCCCTGCCACTAATTTTAAGGATTTTAGTTGCCTGGGGCAGGATCCTTCTCCTTTTCTCTATGACAAAACATTCCATACAGCGTATGGCCTCCTGGCACCCACCACCAACCTGACCCCATAACGACTGGACGTCCACACAAGGAATTTGTCCCAGGCCTCAAGCCAGTGCCACCCTAGGGCTTCCTCCACTGTCACCCGGAAGCAGAAACTCACCCACAATAGAAACATTACCAGATCTCATTGCTCTATGACCCTTAGAAGACCTCTCAAAATGGTTATCCAGAAGCCACCACCAACAGAGCCTTCACCCTCGGTCCACGCCACATCTCCTCCTCAAGAAACCCTTCTCCCTGCCCCTATCATAGTCAGCACAGAGCCTGTTACCCAACTGCATGGGGCCTGACTGTGAACAGAACTGAGTCCTGCTGATTTTCTACTTTATTGCATTTTCTATATTTTTTAATACACGATCACATACAATGTCCCATATCCTCCCATTAATGACTCTGTAAGAGAACAACCACACTCTAATTTTGTGGGTAGAAAACCTGAGGTCCAGAGACTTGTCCTAAGACACGTTTGCCAAGAAGTGAGAAATTCTAATGAGAAAACATAATGGAAAAAAATATTATTTACTGTGTCAAATGCACAAATACTATGATAAAGTAAACAAAAAAAATTACAAAATATCTCTAAGAAAAAGTATAACTCTTCATTGAGGAACATGCAAAAGAAACCTAAAAGAGCTTTATTCCTAATAAATTGACATATGTGTCAATTTTATACCAAATTCACCACCAAAGTGAATTTGCAACCTGACAAAATTACTTTAAATTTCACACAAATAATGATAGTATCTATCATTTCCTAAGCACTATGTGCCAAATACTTCACATACATTATCTCATCCAACCTCACCCAAACAAGTGAAGTAGGTATTATTATTACCTCCTTCTAATGGAATAGAAATTTGAGGCTCAAAATTTTTAAATTATTTGCTGGAGGTCAGAGAGATGGGAAAGAGGAGAGATGGGCATAGATCCAAGGCTGCCCACACACACAAGCAATCATAATGGGTATTAGTAATTAAAAAAGGGTTGAAAAATAATACAGCAAGGTTTACATTGCCATTTTGTTAAATTATAAAGTTATGATAATTGAAACAATGTGGATCTTCCATAAGAATGTACTTTTAAATGACACGAAAAAGATAGCTTAGAAAAATACACATAATTATTTCTTATGGAATAAAAAGTAAAACTTCAAATCAGTGAGAAAAGAGTGACCAATTAGAAATGCTGTAAAAATTATATGATTATTTGGGGGGAAAGAATATGGTTCTTACTTCTCAGTATATGTTAAAATAAATTCCAAATAAAGAGTTACATGAATACATAGAAAAAAGAAAGAACTAGAAGAAAATAAAGCTGGATATTTATCTGATGACACACACACACACACACACACACACACAGGTGAGCAGGGAGGGAGATAGACATATGTTTTAAAAGTCTGGCATCTACTATTAGTTACATTTTAAATTTATTATTATGCCATAAAAATGTTTCCATATCACAGCACAGTCTTTTAAAACATTGCAAGTCACACTGAGGAAAACTACTAAACAATATGGGATACATTAAGGGGAAAAGCTTTCAAAGGGTATGTAGGGTATGACTTGTCCAAATTTGCTTAAAAATCCAGATCCATGCTTTAGAAAAAAAATGGAAACATATATACCAAAATGCTAATGGTGAAACTCTCATCTAGGTGATAAAATTACAACTGATACTTGCCTGCATTTAGTTTTTCATAATTTTTCAATTTTTTTACAATCGACTTTCAGAATTAAACGTTTTTAAAGAAAGAAACGAGTAATAAATGAATTCAGTCTAAACCAAGACTTAATTGTTTGGGTAAAGACTTGACATTCTAAGAAGAATGAATTTAATTCAAGTTATGTCGAAGCTCTCAAAGCCCAGGGAAGTAAGAAATTCAGAGCTGAACTATAGTTAAGAATTATATGTTTACTCATTCAAAAACATTAACTGACCACCTATGAAATGACAGGCCCGGGGCTAGGGTCTAGGATTTGTGCATCCTCCGTAAAATGTTATAGAAACTGCAATAAAGACCGTGTATGGTGCAGAAGGAGCACGAGAGAGGAGGAGATCTATCCGTAAGGATGTGGTGCAGCATGTGGTGTGAAATGATGGGACCTGCGGCAAACTGGATCATATGCGTTCTACCCAAAGACATCCGAATTTGAGCTGACCAAATCAGCTGCCGCCTGTAATAGGCTGGGTTCCACAGATGGGACACAACGAAGACTTTTAAGTAGTCACACTGGTAACACAGAGAGGAGCTGAAATAAGTTGGTAATGATGGAATGAGGTGTAGCGACAGATGAAACACAAATTCCAGGCTGGGTGAGCACAGTGGGAGAGGATGCCTCGTGCCCACCAGGTCGCTGCGATGCCCGCGTTAAAATCTCAGGCTCCCGTTCTTTATCACCCCCATTCCTGGCCGTAAATGAAGAGAGAATTCTTCCAACCCCCTTTCCATCACTTTTTCCTTTGAATGAAATGCACTCATCTCAAGAAATGACCTAGAAAAACAAATCCTGACCTTTCACAAAAATGGCTCAGGAGGCTGCCCCTTCCCCCTTCCTCGGTTCTGCTTCACTCACGTGGGGTGAACCTGTCTGTCCGGGCCCCGAGTCCTTCAAGTTTCTTACCCAGGAATTTCCATCATCTCTGACTAATTTTCCATGTTCCTTCTGGAAGTATAATGTCCAGACAAATCAACAAGAAAATGGTACAGTATTGGGAAGTGTCAGTAAACTTATTTTTTCAGCCCATATTCTTCAGAATATATCAGGCTTCCAGGTTAACAACGGCACAGCACAGAGCCGACCCTGATCTCTCCGGAGAAAGTCACTCCGTCACTCCAATGTCTCTCTCACCCCAGGACCAGGGACACCTCAAGTGCCAGCCGACACCCAAGGTCTTTCTTTTGTTCCTTACAACATTGATCACCACACACATTTTGGTCACATATTTTATAAATAAAAATAAATAACTTTTTAAATGGAGTGTATAGCCTCAAAAATATATTTCTTTTTTTAAACATGTACTAGTATCAATCTATAAAAGTCTCAGTAAAGCTTCATTCATTTTTACTTTCATAGAAAATAGAAGTGCTGATGTTTTCTTCTCAATGTCAACAGATCACCTCAAACCTAGTCATATCTGCCGCATAATTCCCACTCAGATTT